GTGCACTGGTCAGGACTCACACTCGGGTCTCCACCATGCAGTTCTACCATCAAACCACTAATGCGTCACGCAGGGTCGCGTGTTGCATCATTTCGAGTACCATACACTTTAGATCTCTCAAAAAATATACAGTCTGCCATCACATGGTTGAATCACCCGAAGTGACAATTGGCACAACTGTACGTCACGCGTTAAAAATATAGCTTCATCATTCCAACATTTGCACACATCAAGTCTTTCTCAACACAAGCTAATCTTGATTCGTTGTAAAAAACAAAAACATTACGTTCTTAAAACCTAGTGAGTAGATTTTATATATATATACATATATATATAATCTCAGAGCCAAGAAAAACTAAGCCATTCTTAGGCAATGGAACTATCGAATATAAATGGATACTGATGGATGAATACATGCTTGATCCTCTTTGGAGAGTCATTCTGATGCATGCTGACAACCGATTTAATATTGAACATCATACTCATGAAATATAGATGAAAAGCCTTGGTCCTTACAAATTAATCTTTCTCTTCTGCAACAAAAAAAAAAAGCCTTGGTCTTTGGGAGAACATACTGACCACTCGGCCATCTACCACATACATAGTACAGTTTCCCGTGGAAAATATGTTTACTTTGCTGGAACTAGCAGAAGTTAATATTTTTAAAGAACCTGGAAAAATGAGGGAAGGACAAACTGACATTTCAAGGCACATTTGGGTTAGCTACAATGTAACCATTTGTTACCTGTGTTGGTTCCACCTGCAGGTATTCCAGGGCCCTTATTAGTCACTTAGGAAATAATCACACAAGCTCCTATGACGTCATTATGCTTTATATTGTATATGGATTTAAAGATTAGGGGATTTTTAAAAAGAGTCTTTCACCTAGTAATTGATTAAATATGCATGCTTGCAAAGTCATTCTGAAGCTTCATGGGGTTCTCATTGTATGAAGGAGTTTCTTTAAGAGGTTGAAAATTACACCATGAATATAAACACTTCAGAGGATGTCAAATACATCACAATAAACTACACATTAAAGGCGGGCTTACATTTTTAGACCATCGTTTGGGGGAGTCTATTAATTATTACTATGACACTGATTAATTTATTTCCGCCCCAGCCTGCAAATCTATCACATTGTGAGCGTTACATAAAAAGTCACACCACAGTACCTCTTAGGAAGATGACAGTTAATTTGGGGTTTTCAGCTCTTACCGTTAATCTGCAGCACTACATGGACAACACCAAAAAGCTATGTAAATGGTAAACATTTGTGTCTGCCTTTGTAGAGTTTCCTTATCATAGAGGTTGAATTTGGTTTACAAATTTTCATGTTTCCCCTCTTCCATCCAGTCATAGCTTATTGTGGTCATTATATAATCATTTGTCAATTTGAGGATTAAGAATGTAGAGGTGGAGTCTAGCCTGTCAATCAGATCATAGCCAACGAGGCCTCTCTGTGGGCATGGCCTTCTCATGAGAATTCTGGGAAATCCGGTACTTCCTCCTTGGAGGCAGGAGAGACTCTCTCTCACTCCTTCACTCCCGGGAGACATTGCAGCTGACAAGACACATGGAACTACCCTAGTGCCCTGAGCCGGACAAGCCACATGGACGCAACCAGATATCTGAAGTCAGAGAAGCCACGTAGAGACCCCTGCCGGTGCTCAGATGCTTACAACGCCACTGGACCCAAAGACTTGCTACCCACTGGCTTGTGCTCATCCTGCATTTGGCTTCATTGCATGCGTTTCAAGAGTCGGAAGAGGACTTTGTAGATTGGTATCGGACATATGGGCTCATATCGGACTTATGGACTTGAACTGGACTGGGTTGGGATGTTTACTTAATAAATAATTGCTCTTGTATAGAAACCTCTTCCTTATACACATATGTGTGTCCATGGATTTGTTTCTCTAGTCTAGCCAGACTAACACATTAAAGATGACAATTAATTTGGGGCTTTCAGCTCATGCCTCTAATCCGCAGTGATACATGAACAACAGCAAAAAGCTATGTAAACAATAAACATTTGTTTATCATATAAGTCGAATTTGGTTTACGAATTTTAATGTTTCCCCTCTTCCGTCCAGTCATAGCTTATGATTTTGGCCACATAGAGGCAGTGGCTACAAGGGCTGCTTTAAATTGTTTTTCAAGAGCGATTATTGAATTAATGGGAGGAGCTGCCCCAGTGTGACCTCTTGTTGTTTGGCTATGATGTTATTTGATGTATATACATGAAGCAGTGATAGAGATCTCTGGTTAAGAGCTATATAATTTTAATGAAGAGACAAAAATATCCCTCGCCCAAAGCACTGACCTAAATTAGACATTAATTTCCGAGACACTAAGACAGTCACCTTAATTATATTACGTGTAATCAGTAAAACAATACCTTGCACAGGCTAGGCGTGGAAAGAATTCCATCTGGCGCCCCAGTGGGGGCATTCTGCACACTCTTCCTATCCTCCCTTCCCTCAATACTTCCGACTGCACGAAGTACATCAGCAAGTTAGTTTAATGAACGATGTAGGGTACAACATTGCATACCTAGAGCAAGCCCAGAAGACATCTTTGCTTCTTGGCTGTCTCAGGCGCTCAGAGACACCCAGCTCCCCCTTCCATCTTCCGGGGCCCTGATATATTCCACTCCAACACTAATCTTGAAAATAAAACCAGCCACTTAGAAGTCCCACCCTCTCTTTACCAACCCAGCCTGTAGAACAAGAGCACATGGGGTGACCCCCACCTCTCCCACTTCCTTCCTCCGAGTGAGTTCAAAACAGATTGGTCACCATCTGTTCCTACTCAAGAAGGCCAATTAGCCATTTGAGGCCAACTGAGCACGATTTTGAAACTTGCCCAATGACAATAACAAACAAATTCACACATCGAAGGTTATTTTTCAAGGGTTAGAAACGAGCGGAAGGGAAGGGGACATGCAATAGGAGAGGATTCTGTTGTCAAAAAAAGAAAGATAGAAAGAAAGAAAAAAGCCACCTCCCCCACAGTGTAAGATCTCAGTGCAGGCAATGCTGTCTTCACATGCCAAAGGACGCCAGGGAGCTCGATGTGGTAAGTAATTTGTTCAAAGACACAAAGCTCGTGAAAGAGGAATGAGGATTCAATCCTCCTCTGCCATCACCACGTTGCCCTGCCATACTCAGAACTGAAAATGAGCCCCAGTCGTCACTGGATGAGCAATAGCACGTTTCTTGATAAGTCAATCACTTGTCAAGTGTCTATCAATAGCAGAAAATATATTTTTTCCACATCTCTTTACACATACAGCAGGGCAGTAAGTGCAAAACAGAGACAAGTCTCCAGATAGTCTCCCCTCCTGAGGCCTGAAAATTATGAGGGGAAAAAACCCAATTCTAGGTATGTTGGCTGTGGTTTAATGACGTGGATTTGGGCGGTTTATCGTGCACTGAATCAGAAAGGCTCTTTCAAATGTTACAGATACAGGGATCCCCGTAAGACAAATTGATGACTATCACACAAAGAGAAAATGAACACGTACTTAGTAGTTTTGATTTGACACATTATCTATTTAGGGAACCAGACAAATATTAGAACCCATTCAGATGAGAACTCAAGTAACGGGCACTGATGAGAGAGCTTCCAAAAGTTCATGGAAAGATGATATAAAACATAATGGAGTGTTTCCATCCACTTTTTGAAAGCCGCAGGTCTTTGTAAACCAAGACGTGAGGAGGAGCCTCGTCTTTCCCCTGCGGTGCAATTGATGGGTTTAAACTGATTAAGATTATCAGCCAAACGTGGAAGTCACTCTACTTCTAGGGATTGATTAACAGAGGCAAAGGGCCTTTGGCAGGACAATTGGTTTCACTCCACCACTAACCTTCAGACAGAAACTCATTGCCATCCGGTCAGTGCTGACTCCTGGTGACCCCAGGTGGTTTCCACGATTGTAACTGGTGATGGGAGTAGAAAGCCCAGTCTGTCTCCCTCAGAGGTGCTGGTGGTTTCGAACTACTGACCATGCAGATGATGGCCCAACGTGTAACCTCTACTACACTAATGACTAACCTACAGGCTGTCGCTTCTAACCCACCCAGGACAGGCAGGCATGCCTCATGATCTCCTTCCATTAATGCTCCAGCCAAGACAACCCTACGGGTAGTTCTATTCTATTACACACGGGGGCGCCACAAGGCAGAACCCACTCAATGGCCATCCATGCTACCCACTCCACATCCACAAAGCAACGCTTAAGACAGGTTCCTGGAAATGCCTCATCTTCCCAAAATCCCAAACCATAGCCAAGCCATTAAGCCCCACCTGCTAGTTTCAGCCTATCTCATAATCCCCCTTTCATCCCAAATATGTAGGGAACAAATAAGAAACCCTGTCCTCTCCCCTTCTGGTGTAGCTGACTGAACACTTGCATGTCTGTGGCTAGAATCCCCTTGGGCTTTGGCTGCACTTCAAAGCTCTTGTCCGACATTCAGACCAGCCCCTTGCCAATCTGTAAACAGCTCAAAAAGCCTATGACTCGTATACAAATTCTATCCGGCAGACACTTTATTTTAAACGGGATTTAGAGGCAACCTCCAGATTTGCATATACTTGCTCACACCTACCTGGGCTCTGGAGACCCCCCTGAACATGAGTCGGTGCATGAGGCCTGCGGGAGACTTAGCAATCTGGGGACCTGCGTGATCTGGCCGGACCGGGGAGTTAGGTCAGGACATGTGAGGAACCACATTGCCCTTCGTGTCAGAACTGTTTGTCCATCCCATCCCCGCCGTTCTGGTTAATAAGAAGGGGGAGGGTTGGAGCCCGACTGAAAAGGAAAGTGAGGGGCATGTTCCTTTAAGGAAGGATAAGGATCAGCTCAGTAGCTCAAGTACTCCTTGAAGAAAGGAGGATTGCATTTGCGTTCAGTGGGAAGGTTTGCAGAGCAGGGACACAGAGATGCTGACATGGTCCAAGTCCATATGTTTAGCCCGCGGGGGTTCCTGGCTTACCTGCTGTGAGGTCACTGGGAAGTCTCCCCGGCTGGAAGAAGGTCAGTCTAAGTCTCCCATCCTGAAGGAAGAGCAAGAGACCTCCTGAGACCAGGTCCGTGGAGAGCAGGCCGCCCTGCTTGTTCCATGTTCGGAATTGAAAAGTGGCAGAAACGGCATCCTCTCCCGCAATGCCTGGCAGTGCCAAGAAGCTCCTGGCGCTCTGGAAAGTCACAGGCACCGGCTGTGGTTGCGAACAGGAGAAGGACACATTGCCCTGAGAAGCAAGCACAAGAAAAGGCACACAGGGTGAGGCGCACATCCCAGGCACAAGGGGATTTCACATCTTCACCCAGGAGGCTTTATCACTGCAAATCATCCTCACGTGTCAACCACAATCACAACTATAGACCTTGCAATCAACACGACAAGGCCAATGATCCTCAAGATCCTTCAGGCTCTGTGGTGACAGTGTGGCCAGGCGAATCTCTTCTGAGGGATTCTGGTTGACATCCTGCGCTCCCATTTTCTCAACCTCAATGCAAGGCGTGTAGCTCACGGTAATTGAATCTGATAAAGATGTATTTAAGCCAGTTCGCTTTTTTCAGCTTCTACTTGGCCCTTGCTTTCTGCTGCTCACACCTGCTTATCAGCTTCGGCCTTCCACCGACCCAAGCAATCAGTATCTGTACGTACGAGTATTAAGTCTTTGCATATTTTTGTCCACCCTCCTCGAATCTTATGTCCATGAACCCAAAGCTCACGGCCATCAAGTTGATTGCTGACCCACAGCAAACCTATCCAGGCTTTCTGAGACGGTAAGTCTTTAAGGAGCACACACACACAGCTTCATCCTTCTCCCATAGTGTGGCTGGGGAGTTTGAATCACAGGTGGTGAGGCTCACAGCTCAGTGCTTAACCCACAGGGCCACCAGAGCCCCTTTGTTCTGTGCCTATGATTAGGCATACACAGAAATAAGTGTAAGTCTGAATGCATTTACCTCCAGGTTTAGGATTACATGCTGTACAAAGGGAAGAGCCATGCTTTACACATTGACAGGGAGCGAATCATCAGAGAGGCTGTGTTGTATGAAGAAGAATGCGGCATCAGGATTGGAAGCACGCTTATTAACCACCTGCAATATGCAGAAGACACAAGCCTGCTTGTTGAAAGTGAGGAGGGCTTGAAACATCTGCTGATGAAGATCAAGGATTGTAGCCTTCACGATGGATTCGAACTCAGTGTAAAGAAAACAAAACCCCACACAACTGGACCAAGAGGTAGCATCACGATAAACGGGTATAAGATTGAAGTTTGTCTTGCTTGGAGCCCTAGTCAATAATCATGGAAGCAGCAGTCAAGAGATCAAAAGACAAGTTGTATGAGGTCAATGCGCTGCAGCAAGGAGTTACTTTGAGGCCTACGGCATGCCTGACCCAAACCATGGTATTTTCCATTGCCTCGTAGGCATGTGGAAGTTGGACATTGAGTAAGGAAGACCAAAGAGGAATCAAGACGTTTGAATCGTGGTGCTGGAGAAGAGAACCGAAAGTACCATGGACTGCCCACAGGACAAACCGGCCGGAGTGCTCCGTGGAGGCAAAGATGGAGAGAGTTTGTCTTCCATACTTTGGGCAAGTTGTCAGGGGAGACCAGTCCCTGAAGAAGGACCTCATGCTTGGTGAAGTGGAGGGGCAGCGAGACAGAGGAAGACCCTCAAGGCGACAGACTGACACCGGGTCTGCAACAACGGGCTCACGCTTAGGCACAATGGTGAAGATGGCATGGTCCTGGGCAGAGTTTCATTCAGATCTGCCCAGGGCGGCAAGTTCCAAGTCCCCGAACAATGGCAGCATGCTAGGCACCCTTTCCTGTATCCTGTTTCCTGACCGAGTGATAGCCGATTGAAAAGCATCATCCCAATGTGTTCTTTTTACCGCGTCGGTAATGCTCTATTCTGTGAATGATCTCCTTTCCATTGCACCATTTCTCCGATGAGGGGCATTCGCGCCAGCGTTCGTCTCTCTCCCCAGAGTTGCAATAAATACACCACCTGTTTCTTCACGCACGGGTCTTTGATATAAAACAACTTGTACCCATAGGGCTTTGACAAGTACTCTCAGATTGTTTGCCCAACAAAAAATAATACTGCACACATTTCCACTGCTAGATAAAATACTATGCATTTCCCTCATCCATGCCAAGAACTGGTTTTAGATGGCTTTTGATTTCTCACAGGTTCAATGGCAAAATGCTCAGGTGAGAACTCAGTGGGATTTGCCCGGTGCACCTGACCCCTCGTGAGTGGTAGCAGTTTTGTAGGTTTATGCTCCTCGGGTCTTGTTTGTCTACAAAAGGTCTGCTCGTGCCCCTCCGTCCGTTTCCCCATGTCCTTTCCTTTTCCTCTTTGAACGCCTTTTT